TATTTGGAAAAATAAAATTTGGCCGTGATCTCCCAATCCACTAATTTTATTTCTTTATTTTACTGAGCCGGGCCTGGGTAAAAAAGGTGAAGTGATTCAAAAATATCAATCAGTAGTTACAAAGTAGTCAGTAATATTGTAATGACCATGTATGGTGCCAGGTGGGTATTAGACTTATGGGGGGGAGGGGTTCTTCATAAATTATATAAATGTCTAACACTGAATGTCAACTGTAATTGAAAATAAAAATTTAAAAAATTTACTTATCCAGCATAAAATCTAAATGCGTGGGAAGTACTGTCCCACAGAAGTATGAAAGTAGCTGCTCATATGTAAAGAGTAATCACAATTTAGCAAGAGTTGCACAGACCACAGAATTAGGCTACATTGAAAAAGCAAATGATGAAAACAGAATATATAGCCTGAAAGTTGAATGTGAACCTAAATACCTAGAAGTTCTCCCATCAGTTAGATTTGTAGCAAATATCAGTAAGAATGGAATAATTCTAGTGAGATGGTGGATGTACAGAGCATACTAGTGTTAGCAAAAGAGCTAAATGCATATTCACATAGTATTGGTGGTTGGATTTCAAAAGCAAAGACATTTAATGACATTGAAGAAAATATGAAGCTTCCATAGCCACCAGGAAAACATACAGAAATTAATTTGATGGGATCTCAAACTTATCTTAAACCAACAACATTCTATTCTACTCACGTGGCTGTCTTGATTAAATTTCACAATGCAAAACCTCAACACATTAAGTAAAATTACATTTACAGGTAATAGGAAGAAAAATGCTGCACTATGTTTTTCCTTATTAAGGCACTGCCATTAAGCATAAACCTTGAGTATTCACAACAGAAGTCAGGTTTACAAGATGAAAGCATGGCAAGAAAAATGTGTTTCTGAAAAATAAAAATCTTAAGGAAAAACAAAAATGGCATTCTTTATCCATCTTGCTTAATGAAAGAGCCAGAGTTTCAATGCCTAATGTCACAAATGGTGTTACTTTTTGAAGTGATGTGGGTGCTGGCTTCTAGTAGTAACAAAATATACTCAAGACCGTTTTTACATCTGTATTTATAATTTTAAAAAGCCAAGAAGGAGGTTGATGAATTTCTGTTAAAAGCCATTCCTGTTACATGTAATAAACTAGCAAGTACTTATTTATAGTGTTTATTTAATAAACCATCCATTGAAGTTTAAGTGAAATCAACAAAAAGGAAATATGGATTGATATGTGATTTAGAGATTAAAGTTAGTCCTAAAATGTAAATAAAATATGAAAAGTGTCCTAAATTTTTTTAATCATGTACCCCAAAGGGTACCTGGTCCCCACACACAGCTGTCCTGTAGCCCTTGATGGCAGTTCAGGAAGTTATCTACCCGTCTCCACATAAGCCATCTCATTCCATCCTGGAAATTCTACGTGGAGTCCTTCTCTCCTCTCCTTCAGCACACCTTATGAGCCCTCTCCTCCTTAAAGCCCAGCTTGGTATTCACAGGCTCCATTAAAATAAAACAAAACAAAACAAAACAGCCCAGCTGGGTATAGCTCAGCAGTTGAGCGTCGACCCAGGAACCAGGAGGTCACCGGTTTGATTCCTAGTGGGGGCATATGCCCAGGTTGCGGGCTTGATCCCCCCCAGGGGGCGTGCAAGAGGCAACCAATCAATGATTCTCTCTCATCATTGATGTTTCTCTCTCTCTCTCCCTTTCCCTTCCTCTCTGAAATAAAAATATATTTAAAAAAAAAAAACAACAAAAAACAGCACAGCCAAAGTGATTCAGTGATTGAGCACTCACCTACGAACCAGGAGGTCATGGTTTGATTCCCAGTCAGGGCACATGGCCGGGTTTTGGGCTCGATCCCTAGTGTGGGGCATGCATGAGGCAGCTAACCAATGATTCTTTCATCATTGATGTTTCTCTCTCTCTCTCTCTCTCCCTTCCTCTCTGAAGTCAATAAAAATATATTTAAAAAAACAAACAAGCCAAAAACCTACCTGGCTTGCGGATACCCTCCTCTAATTGTGCATACCCACAGCATTCATGCATGCAGTAGGATGCAGCACTAAACAAACACTGAATGATTGGTACATGTATTCTCTCTTAGATTGGGTCAGAGATAATCTGGGATAACAAAGAATATAAATATTATTCATAACCTATTTTGGAAAAACTACAGTCAGTAATCCCATGATGTGAAATATAAATATTTCTGCAGAAACAAAGCCTCACTAGCAGAATTTAATTTTCACTCCAAACAAACCATTACCTGTGGTTAATGGACCGGAGCAGCTACACCACCACCACCCAGGAGCAGGACCAGCCTGAACATTTGGTCCGGAAATTCTATTCAACTGCAGAGCAAAGAGCACACACCACTGACTCACCTAATCTAATTAAACTTTCCCAAGACTGTGAATACTCTGTGTCACAAGCAAGGCCACTGAATTCCCAGCCGGAAGTCATTGCCTACCTGATTACTCCCATCTCTCCCTCAAGTTTTTGTTATTAGAGTAGGTCTTGGAGGCCCGGTCTTTCCTCCCCCACACTCTGCCCTCCACACCTGTAGGTTTAGTTGTTTTGGATTATTTCATGTCCTCCTCTTTGATGCATCTGGTGTGAACTTTTCCTTCTCACATTGGGTGAGGACAGAGCAGTAGCCAGAGGTGACACAGAGACAGGGCGGAAGTGTTTTAAGGCAGTTAGAAGTGAGAGGGTGTCTGTGGGCTTTGAGAATAAAAAGTTCCTGGAAAGGTGACATTTGAAGACCCAACCTTCCCCATCAAGGCCATCAAGAAGCTGTTATTGTCCTCACTATCACAAGAGTATATATCACATATTCTCTTCAACTTACTACAGTGAGTTTTTCCCTTCTATCCTCAAAGCATTGATAATTTCACTTTTAAGATTGGAGTCTTTTTTAATGAAAGGAGTATCCTGAACTTCCAAAGGGAGTTTTTAAATTATAAGTCAAGTATTGTTGGGAAATATTTCCTCTAACTTCATTCCTTGAGGCATACTTATCCTTATATAAATTATACAGTGGTTAAGCATCAACCTATGAACCAGGAGGTCACAGTTCGATTCCTGGTCTGGGCACATGCCCGGGTTGTGGCTCCATCCCCAATGAGGGGTGTGCAGGAGGCAATCAATCAATGATTCTCTCTCATCATTGATCTCTCTCTCTCTCTCTCTCTCTCTCTCTCTCTCTCTCTTCCTTCTTCTCTGAAATCAATAAAAATATTTTTTAAATAAATAAATTATTAAATTATACAGCAGTGATTTGTTATTGAGGCGTAACTGGGCCTAGATCTGACCATGAGCAGTGCTATACAAGATTAAGCAGATGTGCAGCTGGGAACAACAGAGAAGGAGGACCAGCATTCCAGCATCCCCCAAAATACACTGTTCCCTGCCACTGAAGGGCTACATCCTGGACAGAACTGCGGGTCCTTAGAAAAGAAATATAAACAAGGCCGGGACCAACCGAGACATCTCCTCCCTTTCACCAGCTTGGATTGTCTCTGATGTTCCTGGCACTGGACTAAAGGATTCGAGGAGAAAGGAGGAGGGGGAGACTTTTTCTTCAGGAGCTTTCTTAGCTCAGCCTGTGTAACAAATTACCATGGACTGGAGGCTTAAACAACAAACATTGATTTCTCAGTTCTGGAGGCTGGGAAGTCCAAGATCAAGGTGCCTGCAGATCTGATGCCGGGTGAGGGCCCACTGTCTGGCTGGTAGATAGCTGTCTTCAAATCTTGTCCTCACCAGGCAGAGAGTAGAGAAGCAAGCTCTCTGGACTCTTACAAGGACATGAATTCCATTCATGAAGGCTCCACCCTCATGACCTCCCCTAACCCTAACCTCCTCCCCAAGGCCCCACCTCCTAATACCGTAACACTGGGGTGGGGTAGAGTTTCCACATATGAATTTTGGGTGGAGGGGAGGACACAAGCATTGAGTCCATAACAGAAGCCCACAGTCAATGAGAAAGACACTTTAGATCAGTGGTTCTCAACCTTCCTAATGCTGCGACCCTTTAATACAGTTCCTCATGTTGTGGTGACCCCCCAACCATAAAATTATTTTCGTTGCTACTTCATAACTGTAATTTTGCTACTGTTATGAATCCTAATGTAAATATCTGATATGCAGGATGTCTTTTCATTGTTACAAATTGAACATAATTAAAGCATAGTGATTAATCACAAAAATATGTAATTATATATGTGTTTTCTGATGGTCTTAGGCGACCCCTGTGAAAGGGTCGTTCGACCCCCAAAGGGGTCGCAACCCACAGGTTGAGAACTGCTGCTTTAGATACTAAAGGTTTTACAATCCATGAGATCAGTGCCACGGCAGCAACCTGCCAAGCACCCCGGGAGCAAAGATCAGCGAGAAATTAATTCTGCCTCGAGAAGAAACTCAAGTCCCAAGGAAGAAATTGCTACTTCAACTAGATATTGGAAAAAGAACAGGAATTGACTAAAAAGATAATGAGGAAAGAAGTTCTTTAAAAAAATATGACCTTCTAAAAATCTCTCTAATTGCTTGTGGTGAATAGAACCAACCTACCAATTTTAATCAGAGCTAAGCTAGACTTTTAGTTACTATTGAGGTTTCTCCAAAAGTTATTTATTTTCAGCTTATTACCAATTCAGAGCATCTACAAAAGTGACCTACTGAATTTGCAGAGGCGGCAAAATTCTTACAACAGTAATAATAATAGGATGAAACTTAATGGCTTTACTGAATAGATTACCTTTATGGCCAACAGCCCACATGCACTCTCCAAGCCCACGGAAGTCCCTGGGAAGCCTCATTTGCTGCCCCAAGCTTACATCTCATTACACACTTTTTAATTTTAATGTAAATTGGTAAAAATTCAAAAGCTATGCATCTACTTTTAAATTGAACCATTTTTAGTAAATCACTGAATACTTTCCATGAACAATAAGAGTTTTATGAGATGATCTGTTATTCTTACCTCCATGGGAAAAGCTTTGAAATTAACTGTGTGCTCAGAACCACGCTGGTTTTCTCTTCCCCAATGAAATCGAACCTCATACAGTTCGAATTCATGCCCTTGAGGCAATGGACCTCCCGAAAGAACTGAAAAAAATAAAATAAACTCTATTTAATTACATCTCAAACATATTCATCAGCACAGCAATAGAAACACTGGGGACATGTTTTGCCAAAATCTCGCATGAGCTCTACAGATTCAATTCATATAGCCAAAATGAGAACTACATCACAACTGTGAATTTACACTATGTGAGTTTTGCTGAAATTCTTATAATGCCATTCAGATAACAGCAGAAGTACAAAAACTCTGGAATACCTTGATAATGATATGTATATCATTTCATTTTAACTTTGTTAACTTTAGACAAAGAAAACCAATGCAGTAGTTATGCTCTCTGAGATATAAACTTAGCACTCGTCAGGAGGCAAAAATATTGTTTGAAGTCTCAGATTAACCAATAACTTGCTATAGATGTATCAATAAATTAAACCTTGTTTTCAGATCATCCATTTGTAGCAAAAGGCTTTCAATTTAGAGAATAGTTGTAAGCTAATAAAATTATCTATGAAGAGAATTATTTTTAAGCCAATCAGATTTTTCAACAATGCAATCACTCTTAAAAAGCAATTTACCATTCAGTGTCACATACAATGCAAACAAAATAAAATTTAATAAAGTATTAATACTGAAAATATGAACATTGATTCTATAGGGCCGTGTCTCTAGTTCTCATTTCTGGATATGACCCAGAACTTTGTCCCAAAGAAGGGCACTCTAATAGTAATGAAAAATAAATTTGTACAAGAACCTGTCTTGAAGCGATAAAATACTTTCTTTAAACACTCCCTGATTATCATATGCAAAAACTTGAAATAAAGTTTATTATAAATTACCTATTTCAATATAAATAAAGGTTGCTTGCATTTTTCTTGTAAAAAAAAAATGTTCATTCTAAATGGTATCAGCTAAGAATTGAAGGTTGTTTTTCAGTCAAGAGGCTGACAAAATTCACCCCGTTCCCCCAGAAGTGGTCTCTCAAACAGGTTAGCGCTGACACTTGGGTTGCCATTGCAGAGAAAGTGACAATGTCCAAACTGCCCTCCTGAGGAACAGCTTGGTTGTCTATCTAACTCTAACTCAAAGGAGAAGAAAGCAAACTAGTGCAACAGGTATTTACTTGCTTGGTCGGTTCTTCACCCCATAACTTGTTCCAAAAAGAATTTCAAGCTGCTTTTAGATCAAGGTACATAAAACCTAGCCAGAGAGCATACATTAGAAAGAAGAACAAAGGTTAAACAAAGACAGAGGCAGAAAACAGATGGAGAAATGAGGTGACTGCACAAACCAACGTCAGAAGTCCTCGCTAAAAGTGCCCAACAAATTTGCTTCTAAGCTTTCTGCCAGCTCAGTGAAGAAAAAGAGCTACAAGAGCAAATGGCAGGTTTAATTTTTCAAGTGTATAAACCTCACATCATGGGGGAAGGAGGTGAAATGCATGGCCTTTAGGATACTATATTTCACAATTTCATATTCCTCCTCAGACCTGGTCTTACTTAAGTCTCACAACAAATCTGAGAGGTCAGTGGGATTGCCCCCAGGGACAGGAGAGAAGAACATGGCTGAGAGGGGGTAATGTGGCCTGCCCTGGCCACCCAGCCGGAAAGTTCCAGGAGCCTGGAACTCAAGCCTTCTGACCCACGTCCCAGGGTGAGACAGGGATGGGGAAAACCAAGTGTTTTCTGCAAGCATGACCTGAAAAACAATGACTTCTTTTTTTTAAATATATTTTTATTGACTTCAGAGAGAGAGAGAAAAATCAATGATGAGAGAGAATCATTGATCGGCTGCCTCCTGCACGCCCCACACTGGGGATGGAGCCCGCAACCCAGGCATGTGCCCTGACAGGGAATCGAACTGTGACCTCCCGGTTCACTGGTCGACACTCAACCACTAAGCCACCGTGTCCAGGCGAACAATGAGTTCTTTAAGTCTAGGATTCTAAACTGCAGTTCTATTTCCCAGGACAATAAAAAAATTTAAGTACATGGATCACAAAGGGTCACAGATATCCAGAGCTGCAGTGGGGCTCACGGTCGGTTCACTGGTCGACACTCAACCACTAAGCCACCGTGGCCAGGTGAACAATGAGTTCTTTAAGCCTAGGGTTCTAAACTGGAGTTCTATTTCCCAGGACAATAAAAAGATTTAAGTACATGGATCACAAAGGGTCACAGATAGATATCCAGAGCTGCAGTGGGGCTCACGGAGCATCTTCAATAAACACCCAGCTGTGATGGAAGAAGGGATGACATGTTTCTTTTTCAACCAGGTGCCACAGTTTCTGAATAATCTCAAAACCCTCTCTTCCTTCCCCACAGCTGTCCTAACTTGGTCTTAAGGAAAACCCAGAAGGAGGCCTGCGGTCTACCCACAGTGTACCCCACCTCCCAAACCAAAAAGAGGGGGGAAGCAAGGAAGTCTCTGGCTGAACCCCAGCCTCATCGTGAGAACTGGAGAACACACCCCTCACCATGTGCGAGCACAGCCTGAGCGCTTCATAGGGGTGCGTTCTACTTTCTAAAGGTGAAAATTGTCATAGAGGAGGCTCAGCTCCACATTGCTAAGGAAAATGAAAGAAATATTGTGAAATAAAGTCATGTGAAATGGGAGAGGATTTTTTAAAAATTCCCCCAAAACCACTTTAATGCATACACTCAACACACACACACACACACACACACACACACACACACGTGTTTCTGAAATGCTACAGAGCAGTCTACTGGTACTTTCTTATTTAAAAAAAAAAATTGATGCTATAACTGATGTTGACAGTGACTTTAGGAAACCAGAAAAAGAACCTGGAAACTCCATAGATCTGTCTTGATAGGAGAAGTTCAAGGCCCACAGGGATCCACTCATCACATACATTGTACCAGACACTGTATTAAGTGTTTAAGATACACTGATTCTTTTTTTAGAGAGGGACAAGAAGCGGGGAGAAAGGGAGGGAGGAGGGAAGGGAGGGAAGGAGGGGGAGAGAGAGCAAGAGAGAGAAGAAAAGAAACATCGACGGGTTGCCTCCCTCACACGCCCCAACCAGAATTGAACCCACAACTGGGTATGTGCCCTGACAGAGAACCGAGCCTGTCACCTTCTGGTATACAAGATAATGCTCCAACTGAGCCACATCAGCCAGGGCAAGATATACTGATCTTGACAAAAGAGACAACATTTCGTGATCTCGTGGATTTTTACAATGAGTACAAAAAAGGGAAGCATTCTGCCCAGGCCTGGTCCCCAGGGAGAGGTGACAAAGAGGCAGCGGCAGCCAGGAGTCAGGCGCTGGGGGCCTTTCACTTTCGCTGCAGGTGAATATTGCAAAGTTAAACCGCACTAAAGTCACGTGGCTGTACAAAGCCATAAGGAATGACAAAATCCTGATTGCAGAATTTTAGGAGGTGCCAGGTAAGTATTACCTGTGCATCCCCTGAGAATGACTGTTTTCAGACTAAAAATAAACAGTAGCTCTGTTTTACCCATTTGGCAACATCTGCTTAAGGGCATTTTTCTGCCTCTGTATAGCTTTTCTCTTCAAATAAGGAGACCACTCATACCAAAAGGTGTACACTTCCCCTATATTTATGATTATCAAATTTTTCTGAGTGATATTGTGTCACCATATGGCAGGTTTATTAGTTGTGATGTCATTAAGGTCAGTAAAATGTTTCACAATGAAATTCATACTGATGACATACTGCATTTCCTTAGAATAACAAACTTGTGGGGGGAAAAAACATAAAATAAACTGATGTCATTGCTGCTGCACCCATTTTCTTTAATACTCTGTAATAGTCACGGCTACTATGCTCTGTAATAGTCACGGCTACTATCCTTCTCCAAAATTTGGGAACCTCATAAAGACATGATATAGATACATTTACCTCAACCTATCTAAGCTTCTCTCTCCTTTCGCTGAAAACACATCTGCCAGATAGTTCAAAGGCTGCTGTCCATCAAGGCTTATCTCCCTCGTTGCCTTAGAGTTCAACATGCACGTTGCAAGATGGACGCCATGACCTGCACCGAGCACCCAGTTCACAGAGAGATGATACAGCTGCGGTGCTGGCGGGGCCCTCTCAGTACTTATGGACCTGGATTTGACAGTTTACACAAATTGCATCAGAAGAGTAAGGGAAAGTGCATAAGGCACTAGGAGAACACCCAGCAAGGGCTGAGCCAGAACCAAGGGCATCAGAAAGTCAGGGAACTTGGCACAGGAGACAATTGCCAAGCAGAGCCTTGAAAAGGAAGCTAAGAGAAGTGAGAAAGCGCAGGCCAGCCGAGAGAGGAGGCTGAGAGGGGCTCCGAGATGGGAAGCAGCTTGAATGTGTCCCAAGAGAATGAAGCTAGGTCACTGGTGGCCAAAGTCGGGCCTCAAGACGAGAGAAAACAATTTTTAAGGTATTTCTGACAGCCCCATATTTAAATCAGCAAGGCTGCTAAGAAGCACTATAAAAAGTGGTCATTTTTTTTAAGTATGATTAATAATAAAAATAATAATCTAGCCTAAAATTAGTATTGAGAATTATAAAAGACCCAGGAGTGGAATTTTCTAATTAGGGTTTCTATAATAAGTTGCAGGGAAGGGCACAAGTGACCTACCTTGATTAGCAATTTCTCCCATGCCCATGGCCCTTTAACAATGTCATCACCCTTAACACACTGCTTGCCGTCAGATGGAATGACGTTCTATTGCACAAGCTTGGGCAGTCTCACACTTTTTCACAACGTTAAGTATCAAACCACTCAGGCGAGAAACCTATAATAATTATATTTTTACACTTCAGCTACTTTCTGTATCACCATAAGTATGTTCCATCTTAAATGTGTCTGTGTACACTAAATTGCTACGATTCCCACAGAACAGTGATTCATGTGTCCCATAGAGACACATGCGGGAGCATTAATGAAATTCTCCATAGTGAGGGAGACAACGGGCCAACAGCCTGGTCGGTCCCACCTGGAACATGAACCTGTGCTCAACTCCCCGTCGGAGGCACTCTGTCACCTTGAAATATGC